GATAGATAGATAGATAGATAGATAGATAGATAGATAGATAGATGATAGATGGATGGATGATAGGTCAGGAACCACAGCAGCTGCCCGCTCTGTCTGCTTTGTCTTTCTCTCTCATGCTCTGTGGGGCCTCATCACTGCACCCCTTTTTGTTCTCTGCTCTCCTTGGAGCAGTCACAGCACAGTCAGAACAGACACTCTTTAGGTGTTTCAAGCAGAGGGTATGGAATACAGGGATTGGCTACACAGGGTTGAAAGAGGAAACACACAACATGGAAAGCACCAGGGATCACTGACTGTAGGAATGCTAGGGATGGAGTATTAAAAGGAAGAGAGGGTGTTACCAACCAACCCAGCTACCTCTGGTACCCCAAAGGGAATGCTGGCATCCTAGCTTTCTGCTGCCCCTGGACAACTGCAGGTGGTACTTGGCTTAACACAAGAGGAACATATCCTCTCACAGTTCTGGAAGCTAGAAGTCCAGTCAAGGTGTTGTCAGGGCTGTGGTCCCTCCAGAGCCTCTAAGGGGGATCCTTCCTGATCTCTTCCAACTTCGGGTTGCCCCAAGCATTCCTTGGCTTGTGGCGGCATCCCTGTAATCACTGCCTTCATCTCATGGCCTTCTTCCTGTGTGTTGGTGTCCAGGTTTCCCTATTATGAGGACAGTAGTGAAGTTGGATTTAGGACCCACCCTAATTTAGTATGACTTCATCTTAACTTGATGATATGCACAAAGACCCATTTTCCAAATAAAGTCACATTCACAGGTATCAGAGTTTAGGATTTGAACATGTCTTTTGGGGAAGATACAATTCAACCCACAACACAGACTCTTACAGGAAGGAGGAGTCTCCTTTCCTCTCCTTCCAAGCCTGGCTTCCTGATGGTGGCTTCCATTAGCAGGACATAAGAAGCCAGCTACAGAGGAAGTATAGGAGATGTGGTTTGCAGATCTCGGCCCAAGCACCGGCATCTGTCAGCAAAAGCCCAACACACACACACCCTCTTTAGACTAGTAACTTCACACTGGGAGACCTACAGCCTCAGTCTCACAGCCACTGACCCAGGAGGGTCCATTGCCCAGTTCCAGATTCCCAGAAGAGAGAGTCTGAACGGGCCAGCTCAGAACTAGTCGGATGCCACCATTGTTGAGCAGCTATGGGTGCATATAGAGACAAGAGCTTATAATGCAGCTTATCTGGGAGGGGCAGGAACCCTAGAAAATACCTACAGCACTTGACCATTGGCCCCCCAAGGACAGGAATTTGTTTTGTTCACTGCTGTGTAACCAGTACCTAGGACAGTGACTGGCACAGCAGGTGCTCAATCAATATCATGAAATGATTAATTAAAAATAGTCACTAAAGTTAGGGACATCTGGAATTAAGTGCCACTTATTAATCACCTATTATGTTTACATCTAAACATTTGTTTAATACTAACTGTGTGCCAGACCTTATGCTAAGCACTGGGGTATGAGGAGAGAACACAGTTCTCTCAGTTTGCAGGGGTGGTGGGCAGGCAAGTCAGCACATAATAGCAGCACAATCTGATATGTGCTTTGATGGGGAAAACTCAGACTGAGAGAAGGGAGATTTCAAAGATTGGCCCACAAGGTTGGTGAGCAGGAATTAGGCCACATAGCCATCAAATTGGTTGCAAGTAACATAAACCGACATAAGCAAAATATGTAGTTCACTATCTTATGTAACTGAAAAGTCCAGGTGAAGCTAGATCCTGGCAAGCAGACCCCATCCCCTTTGCTGTTGTCCACACTGGCTTTATTCTCATACTCTCTCCTTGTAGAGGCAAGATAGCTGCCAGAGTGCCAGCAAAAATCCCAGAGAAGGCTCTCATTGGCCACCTTGGGTCATGTGCCCTTCCCTAACCAATCACAAGCCTATGGAACCATGAGATGGGGGTCAGCCACACCCAACCACAGCATCTAAATGTAAAGGGGTTACCCAGGTGCTGTTACCCAAAGGGAGAAAAATAATGATGTTCCCTAAAGGAGCAACTTTTGCAAAGGCCTGGAGGCAAAAGCAATGCAAGCTCCCCATGTGTTAAGGGCCAGAAGAACACACAAAAAGGAGCTGCCAGATGCAGATGAGGACAGGAAAATTAATCCATCCATCCATCCATTCTAGAAGTAGTATTTGCTGAGTGCTTACTTTGTGGTGGGGCTGGGAACACGACAAGGTTCTTGCCCACGTGGAGCCTTCACTTTGGCCTTGTTGGAGGCCAAGTATGGGAGGTTTTAGGGTCATGGCAGTTCCCTTTGTTTTGGCCACCATTTCACATAGCCTCTCCTCCCTCTCTCTCCAACTCGCTATCTCCATCTTTCTCTGTCTCTCTCCCACATCTCCATTTCTCCATCTCTCTGTCTGGGCTCCTTGTGTAAGCATGTGTCTTCCTTCCCTATCCCTTTCCCCCTCTCTTTCTCTGTCAATCTCCCTTTCCCCAACTCTTCTCCTCCCTTTCTCCCTCTGGACCTCTGTGTAAATGTGTTTGGATGGGTCTTGCTCTCCCCCACTCCCTCTTGGCCCCTGGGGTTCCCACAGATGCTGAACCTCTTTGTCGCTGTCATCATGGACAACTTTGAGTACCTCACTCGAGATTCCTCCATCCTGGGTCCTCACCACCTGGATGAGTACGTGCGTGTCTGGGCTGAGTACGACCCTGCAGCATGGTAAGGAGTCACCCCGAATCCTACAGCCACACTGCTCACCTTTCTCTGGCACTGGAGCCCAGGCTAGGTCAGGCTCCAGACCCAGGGGTGTTGGGTCCCTGGGGAGCTAGCAGGGATCTCAGGGGAATCAGTCTAGAGGAAGGAAATGAGAATCAGCACCTTCACACACCCCAGGTTAAATGCTTTGGGTACCATCCCTGCCCAAGCCCCATGCTTTCAGGGAGATGAGGCAGGGAGTCAACCATGAGGAGCTGGCCTCCTATGAGTCTCTCCTGTCCCTCTCTATGAGGCCTCCAGATTGTGAGGACAAGTTTTCCAGGCCCCTGGGAGGAAGCCAGAGGTCTCTCAGCCTCCGTTCTCCTGGGAGTGTGGGGAAAGGAGCTTGCCTAGCTCCCTTTGCACATGAGATTGGCTGCAAGATCAGAGTGGCAGAATCCTGCTCCTGCTGGGATCCCAGGACCCTGGAGCAGGTCATCACACAAAGCCAAGGGAGAGGACACAGAACCTCAGTGGCCTTTGCATCTTTATAGTCAGAAAGCAAGTGAACTCTCCCATTTCCATAAGCACCAGAGCACCTCTTCCTGGCTGAGCGGCAGTGGTTCAGAGGGTCAGCTCCAACCTGTGAATGTGTACTGAGTACCTGCTCAATACCAGGCACTTGCAGGACACTCAGAGGCACTGTGCTGATGCTCAGAGTCCATTAGCCACTGGCTGAAGATTCTAGTTCAGGCTGAGCGTGGGGCCTGAGAAAGTATTAACAGGCACCCTTCAAGGCCTGAGTGGTGGAGGGGAGGCTTTACAAGGAAGGGAGGGAGGAGCCATCCTTGCCATCCCTGCAGCCCCAGATAAGTCCTCCATGAGACCTAGAGGCTAGGGTGAGCTGCGGGTCTGGGACTTGATTTTCAGCTGGTTCCTAACTCTTCCTGTTTTGATTTTAGGTCACAGCAGTTGGATGCTGTCCCCCTGTCCTCTATTCCACGAGCCCCCTCATCCCAGTGTAGCCCATGTAGATTGTAGAAGAGGGAGATGCAGACAGAGCCCCGGGGAAGGTGCCCCCAGCCCAGAGTTCCGGACACACCCCAACCAAAACCCTTGCCCCCTGGGGTCTGTGAGTGTCTGGGAACGTCACAGGGGCCTTCACTGATCCCAAGCCTCCCCCACTCCTTCAACCCAGGGGGTCCTCAGTCCCTGGCATCATGACCTCACTGTGTGCACAGGGAGTCAGCGTGAAGGCAGCTTGACCCCTGTGCCTCCACTAATCCCCTCTCTTCTCCTTTCAGCGGTCGGATTCATTATAAGGATATGTACAGTTTATTGCGCGTAATATCTCCCCCTCTCGGCTTAGGCAAGAAATGTCCTCATAGGGTTGCTTGCAAGGTTTGATTTCCACTAAAACCTGCTAGCATCCATGGAATGAGTGTGGCTTGGGGTTCTTCAATATATATATTTCATATATATATATCCAAAAAACAGAGCCATCTCTCTCTATCTTGCATTAAACTAGAAAACTCTCTTAGCCAACAGAATGCAGTCACGTAGACTTGATGAAGCATGGAACATCTCTCTGTTCCCTTCAGCCATTCTGCTTGCTCTTAGCTGAAGCTGCCCATCCCAGGGTCTCAACGGCACCCCAAACCAGACATCCAGGGGGATCGTAACTTTGTTTTCCTCCCCCCACCATCACTTCCACTCTCTCCCCCCCGCCCTTTGCCTCCGAAGCCCCCAGCCCTTCTCCCACCACCCCTCGGCCCCTCCTTCCCGTCTAGGCCCCCTCAGAGACCAGCCTCAGCCAAACCAGAGAATTTTAACCAGTTTTGAAAACAACATGGAAACCAAGTGTGGCTCCAGGCCTCCAAAATGAGAAGCCCCCCATTCTCCACCAGAACCCTAGCTCAGAGTCCAAACAGAATCTGACCTTTCCCTTCTCTCTCTCCCCCCCTGCTTGTAAGCAGTGAAATAATATTTTTTTAATTACCTTTTCTTCCATTTTTTTCCTCCTCTTTTCCATTTATTTGAAATACCTATTTTATCGTTCTCTGCATCTTTCTCTATATTTTTTCGGCTCGTGTGGTTTTGGTTTTGGTTTTTTCTTCCCTTTCTTCCCCTCCCTCCACCCCCCTTCCTTTGGTTCTCCGTCCCATTCCCGTTTTTGTTTTCGGTGCTGCCAGGGGCCGCATGCCTTACCCGGACATGTATCAGATGCTGAGACACATGTCTCCGCCCCTGGGTCTGGGGAAGAAGTGTCCGGCCAGAGTGGCTTACAAGGTAGATTACCTTTGCTGACCACCGACGTCCGGGCACTGGGGATTTTTCAGTGCTGGCCAGGAACAACCAGCCAAGTCTCTTTTTCCAGCGTTCCTCTTCTTTCCTTTTTTTTTCTTTTTTCTTTCCTTTCCTCCTCGAGTAAATGGATCATGACCATTCCTTGACTCTAAGGAGCACACTGTGTCCGTCCTTTCTGATGAGTGTGTCTTGGTGTTTTGAGACTCCATTATGGCCGACATGCTGGGGGGGAGGGGAGGAGCCCCCAGTCCCCTCGCATTTGGTCTCCTGGGAACCAAATTGGACACAAACACTTCAGGGGGGATCACCATTGTGCCTCCTTTCTGCCCACCCAGAGCACACCCCCCCACTCCCAGGCCGGGACAGGTACCTTTTGGCAGGGGTCTTTGGCCCCCAAAAAGGTGAGACCCTGGTCCCATCTTTTGTATCTTGAACTCCCAGGTCCAGCAGTTCCCCCTCCGCCCCCATGCACACCTGAAGCTGATCTCTGACCTAGGGCCTTGGGGGATCCAAGACCTCCTGAGGAGTACCCACAGCCTCTCCTCCCTACTTCCCCCTCCCCCCAGAGTTGTTTCCCTAGCTCCTGTCTCTATGCCACCCATCTACCCCCCAAGACAACCCAACATGCCTCTCCATTGTTCCAGAATGGGCAGGCAGGCCGCAGCTGGACCCCTGGACCGTGGCACCCTGAAGCAGGCCATGCACGCTGCCTTGGCGGGAGCCTGGGGCGGGCAGGCACCTTGGCCGACCGGGGGGTGGCGGGGTGCATGCTGGCTGAAGGAGCAAGGGTCCTGCCGCCAGGCGGCTGGGCCAGGCCATCCCTGTAGGACCCTGTCCCAGAATCTACCTTGGCACCAAGGACAGATGTTCTGTTTCCTCCAACTCATGCACAAGAAGTTCAGGGATGACCTTTAAGGTCCCCCTGAAAAAATGGTTACCCCATCATCCCATTGTCCCATCCACTTTGGCCCACCCTGTGTCTGCAGAGTCCTCCCTCCCCTCTGTCGGTGCCATCCCTTCTGCCTCACACACCTGCCTCCCCACAGCCTCATTCCCCCTCCTCCCTCCATGAACCCCTCCTTCCCAGGCAAGGCCTGGAAGAGGCTGCCTCCACAGCATCTCAAAGATCCCTGCACCTGTCCCTCCTCTCTGTAGTTGTCCTCTCACCCTTTCTCTTCGTCTCTGCTTGTCTAAGTGTGGGGGGAGGAAGAGCCCTTCCCTTCCTGGCCTCTGTGCAGGGCCCCCATGGATCCATAAACCGCCTTTGTGCAATCTGAAAAAAGCACCCTTTCCACAGAACACTTAGTCTGCTGGAAAATGGTAACCCAGACCCTTTTCTGCTGGCAGCTGGGAAGTTGTCTTTTAAATACACAAACCTGCGGTTCCTAAGACAGGGGCCGCTTGTGCAATGCACAACCTGCACAGCTGTGCTCGGCGGCCCCGTCTGCTGCCTTCCTCCCTACCCTGCCCCAACCCATTTCTTGTGTCTGCCCTGGGTTTGCCGCTCCTTTCCCCTTGTCCAACTCTGTTTCCTGCTGACATGTGTCTAAGGCCCTGTGTGAACCCCAGATTCACCCTTGATCCCCATCTCCGTGCCACCTCAGCGTGGGCTGGTGCACACCAGCCCAGCATCCTCTCCCACATCACCAAGCGAGGGGCCAGAGCCCCTGCCTGGGACATGGGGAGTCTTTTCTTCCCTGGGCCATGGGAACACCCCTCAGCCCTTCCCCCACCATCACCCAGAGCCAAGATCCAGACTTGCCCTGAGATACACTTTCCACGGAGCTATGAATGAGTCTCGAGATTCCGTCTGCATGTGCCCGTCTGCCGTCTGTGTTCCGGCCTGGCCTCGCTGCATGTCTGCGAGGGGCCCACCCCATCAGCGGGGGGCCGCCTGCCTGCTGCTTCTCAGAGAAATGATGTGGTCTGTGCCCATCTGGTCTGGTCTGGTCTGGTCTGGGCCGAGTGGGGGGTGGGGGCAGGGAGCCAGCGGCCCCCAGGCGGTTGTGGCCGTGGACCCCTCTGCCTGGCTGTTGCATGTCTGCTCTGATCCAGCTTGTGCACTTCTTCTTTGGGGTCAGAATGGAATGGAGCTGTCCAGAAGAACTCTGGGGCAGGGTGAGGATCTGGGCCCACCTGCAAATGCCAGGTCTAGGGTCCAGCATGTGGGAGAGGAAGGGGCAGAGGCTCACGGCATAGGAGAGCCCCCTGTGCCCTCCCTACTGGCCGCCAAGGGAAATCGGGAAATGGAGCACTGGGACAGGTAACCTGAGGGTGGGGGGCACCTTAGCTGCTGCCTTCAGAGTTCTTCCTGGGGCTCCCTGGGGAGGGTGGGTCCGGCTCACGAGGGGTCAGGCAGTGTGCTTCGGAATGACTGTCCTCGCCTTTGGTTTACTGCAGAGGCTCCTGAGAATGGATCTGCCTGTTGCCGATGACAACACTGTCCACTTCAATTCTACCCTCATGGCTCTGATCCGCACAGCCCTGGACATCAAGATTGCCAAGGGTAAGGGGGCAGGGGTGGGAGCTGAAGGGCAGAGCAGGATGGAAGCGGCCTCGGAGGGAGTACAGGGGGCAGCTGAGGATCCTGCCCCCTGCCTAAAAATGTAGGAGCCACTGCCCGTCCTTATCTTCACTGGCTCACCCATTCACTCACTCAGCAAGCACCTAGTGCAGGCTTCCTGTGCGCCAACCACCACCCCAAACATGGGGGATACAGCAACTTACACTTCCAGCAAGGGAGGCCTGCCCTAGGAGGTTCTGAAGGAGGTAAGGTGATGAGTCAAATGGATACCCGGGGAGAAAGTGCCCCAGGCAGCGGGACTAGCAGGTGCAAAGGTCCTGGGGTAGGAGGCCATCTGGGGCTGTGTTCCTGACAGATCACCACTGGTCACTCTGACCAGGGCATTCTGGTGGAGGGGTCAGGGTCCCCCATCTGTAATGTGTTTTGGGAGCCTGACAGTAGACTGGATATGACTTGGCAGCTGATGAGGTAGCAGGGCAGAGAGAGCGGACATGAACAGCAGAAAGAAGGAAGTTGGGAAAGGAGAGGGCTGGGTGCGTCCTCCAGCAGAGTTGGAAATCGGGGGCCCGAAGAGAGAGGTCAGGGCTCCACCCAGCTAAAGCTTCTGGGATATCGGGAGGAAGGCAGACTGAACTTTAGGGACACAGGCTCCTTCCAGCATCCTAAGGAGAGAAGGGGGACGAGGCTCTGAGGCCAGAAGTTGCTGGGGAAGTTGCTGGGGAGTTGCTGGGTTTCAGGGAGGGAGGTCAGCACCTTCCAGTGGGTCAGTGCCCATTGGAGGGGGACAGGTTGAGGACAGATATTGTTAGACATGGGAAACACGCAGGTGAAGGTAGAGAGACCAGGAGGAGCCACCAGAGAGAGCGAGAACCACAGGGAGTGAGGGTGAGGCTCGGGACAGCAGAAGTAGGGTGGGGATCAAGCCCTTGTCTGGCACACGGTGGACGTTTCTTTCTCACACAGCAAGTCAGAGGCAAGCAGCCTGGCAGCTGGGCACACATCACGGGTCAGGCCCATGTTCTGTGCACACTGGGGTTCTGCTTGCCCCAGGCTGCTCCCTCTTTGGCATGGTTGAAGCTGGACCAAGCAGGGAGGTGAGGTAGCAGGAGAGTAGGCAGCAGCTTCCTGTGACCAGGTGGGAAAGGCAGTTTTTGTGGGCTCGTCTCGCCCGCCTGCCCTGCCTCGCTGGAAACCTTGGCAGACGACCTCACCCTCTCCAGGCTTCAGTTCACGAGTTAGCTAGTTATGCCACATAACAAATGATCACAAGTTTAGTAGCTTAAAACACACCTACTTATCAGCTCACAATTCTATAGGTCGGAAGTCCTGGTGGGCTCACCTGGGCTCTCACAGGGTGGAAATCAAAGCATCCGCCAAGCTGGGATCTTCTCCAGAAGCTCTGGGAGAACCTGAGCTAGTACCAAATGTATGCACATGCCTGGAATTCCCTGTGCCCATCCCTGGCCCTGGCATGCCACTGGTTGCAGGAGGATTTCAGCTTCAAAAAACAGGAATGACTGTTGCCATTGTCTTAGAAAGGGCCAAATCCAACAAATCTCACCCAGGGCCAGTCCAGACTCTTATTCAGGACTCCACGAGGCTGACCAGCCAAAGGGCACTGTCTCATCCTTTAATACCCCAAAGACCAGGCTCTGTCTGCAAGTGGGGTCTGCAGTGGCCTGGAAGGTTCTCAGGTGGACATCACTGGAGCTGAAGGGCTTTGACCTGCCTGAACCAAAGAGGGATGTTCTGGTACATTATGATCTCCCCAAAACTGGTGGCCACTGGCCACCGCTCGCTGAACGAGAGCATTCGTTGAATGCCTGCTGTGTGCCCCGCTCTGTCCTCAGCACCTGAGGCATGGCAATGAAAGACAGATGAGCCTCCTGCCCTCTTGCAGCTGCAGGGAAACAGGTGACAAACAATAAAGGCCATAAGCCAAATATGTAACATGTTCCAAGGTGAGAAGTACTATGGAAGAAGAAAAAAGAAATAGCAGGGTGAGGGTTTGGGAAGCGAGGTCAGGGGTTAGGCCTTATGTCAGTGGTCCTCAACCAGGGACCATTCTGCCCCCAGGGACATTGGGCAATGTCTGGAGACATTTTTGATTGTCACACTGGGAGGAGGCTGGCACTAGTGGCATCTGCTGTGTAGAGGCCAGGATGCTGGTGCTGCAAAATGTCCCAGAGTGTGTAGGACAGACCCTGTGACAGAGGCTCTTCACCGAAAGGCCTGCAGAATGAGATGGGAGAGTGGAGGGCCATTGGACGATAAACTCTGGGACACCATGAGTCCATGGGTACTATTGCCTGTGTACAGGGGGACCTCCGTCCCTGGGAGCCCTGATGTTAATAATTCTGTCACTAGAGGAGAGATAAACCTGGGATTCAGCCTGGAGGTAACCTCATGACCCTAGGGGAGGGCCACCTGAAACCCTCGAAGGATTTTCCCTTTGTTTAAATGTGGTGACAATCCTGAAGGCCAGGCTTCCCAGTGAATCGAAGCAGAAAGGTGGTGGTTCTCAACCAGGCAGTTTTGTCCCCCAGGGGATACTTGGCGATGTCTGGGTACAGGTTTGGTTGTCAGGACTTGGGAAAGGAGGTGCTACTGGCATGTAATGGGTGCTGCTCAACATCCTACAGTGTACGGGACAGCCCCACGATCAGTGACCAGCCCCCAAGTGTGGACAGTGCTGGCTGAGGCCCGGGAACCCGGCCCTGACTCCCTTACCTAACTCAGAAGCCAAGAGCAGGTGTCTCAGCTCAGGTGGCTATAACCAGATAACAGAAACTGGGCGGCTTAAACAACAGGAATTTATTTTCTCAAATTTCTGGAGGCTAGAAGTCCAAGACCAAGGTGCTGCCAGAGTTGGTTTCTCCTGAGGCCTCTCTCCTCAGCGTGCAGATGCCAGCCGCCTTCTTGCTGTGTCCCTACATGGCCTCTCCTCTGTGCGTTCACATGCCCGGTGTCTCTCCCTCTCTTATAGGACACCAGTCCTATTGGATTAAACCACCATTATGACCTCATGTAACTTTAATTACCTCCTTAAAGGTCCCATCTCCAAACACATTCACATCGGGGCTTAGGGCTTCCACATGAAATTTTGGAGGGACACAATTCTGTCCATAACAGCAGGTGTCTTCTTTTTCTCTGCTAGAAACAGGAAACATATACACTGTAAGGAGAGAGTGACTTTTAACAGGAAATGTCGTGTTCTCTTCCTTCCCTTCCCATGTGTCTTAGAAGGGGCCACAGAGACACTGAACACCTCACTTAGCTAGAGTGCATGTGAGACATAGCCATTAATTCCAACTGCTTCCCATGAGGAAAGAAAAACTGTCATAGGTTGGCGCCCAGGGTCTTGAGAGCCCAACACAGGATTTTCCCAAGGGTCCCCACAATAGTCTTGACCTCCCAACTGCTGCAGGGTGACAAATTAGCTCCACCACCACCCCCTCAGCCCCACCCCCTCCTGCATCACCATGGGTGAAAAGAAAGACTAGACCATGAAGCAGGCCCTCTAGCGGGTGAGACAGGAAACAACAACATAAGATAAGTACAGAAAAGAGAAAGCAGAAGAAAGGCATAGAAGGCGATGGGAGACTGTTTTAAGTAGGGGACAGCTAGAAAGCTTCTCTGACAAAGGGTTTGAGCAGGGACCTGAGGGAGGAAGGGAACCACATAGATATTTGTAGAAAGAATGATCCTGGCAGAGGAAACGGTCCATGCCAAGGCCCTGAAGGAGACTGCGCCTGGCATGTTTAAGGAATGGTGAGAAGGTCAATGTGGTTGAAACAGTGAGCGAGGGGGCGAGTAGAGGAGACCGGGGCAGATTGTGCAGGACCCTGTGACCTCGGACGACCACCCTGGATGAGGTAGAGCCAGTTCTGAGGAGGGCTCTGAGCAGAGTAGCCACCTGTCTCAGGTGCTCACAGGTGCCCTCTGGAGGCTGTAGGAGGGACAGGAAGACCTGGCAGAGGCGACTGCACCAGTCCAGGCAGTTCAGCTTCCCATCACCTCAATATCCTCTGAGCTTAACCTGCAAAAAGGCCCTTCTGAAGGATTTTTCCCAAAATAAAGACATCTGTCTCCAGAGTCACGTGGGCAAAGATGAATGAAAGTTCCACAGAATGCCTGGCAGGTATCTGGGCTTTGACCCACATCTGCTGAGAAGGAGAAGCTGAACAGAGGTGTCAGGGGCAGTTCTGGGCTAGACCTGGGAAAAGGAAGAGTAGGGAAAGGCTGGGAAAGGGGAGGTCAGCGTGGGAAAGTGGAGGCAAAGCAGAATGTTGGGGCTATTCTGCCCCGGTAGATGGTTGGTAAAACACAAATACTTTTCTAATGGCTGGGAGCCAGCCCCTGCCCTTCCCCCAGATCTCCTAGACCTCCCCCCACAATCTACCAACTACAAAGTTAAAGTTTGGCCCAGCAGGGGGCCTTGGGACCCTTGCTCTAGCTCTTATCAGTGTCCCTTTCATACCTGCTTGAAAGCATTTGGAACACGCCCCTGTGCCCAGGGTTGGGGGGCTCCTAAAAGGAAAGGAGTGGAGGCCAAGCTGGTGTATTATTCAGGACGGACAAGAATGGGCTGCCGTAACAAACACAGCGGCAAAGGTTCACATCCCACTCCCATTAATGTGTCCTTCCTGGGTTGGCAAGGGGACTCTGTTCATCACATAGGGGCCAAGCTTGAGAGAACCATTGTCCCTAATGTCATCAGCCAGCATGACAGAACCCATTAAATACCCAAAGTGACACCTCACTCTGCTCACACCTCATTGGCAAGAACTCATCACATGGCCCCGGCCAACCACAGGGTCCAGTACAGGTTACACTACCATGTACTCAGGCAGGAATCTCTGGGACCAGGAACTGCTGACAAAGAGCCTTAATGACCACCATGGTGGGGGTGAGGGACCAGGGATCAGCAATGGCCAAAGGTCACATCAATGGAAGAGGAGACTTGGTTGAGAGAGAAACATTCATCAGAACTGCTCCTTGGCATCGCAGCTTCCCTGGGGCTTTCTCCAGGCCTCACTCCAGAACGATGGGCTGCTGTGGTAACAATCCTATGGCAGACACTGTCCTAAGGCTGCACACATATTAACTACTTTAATCATCAAACAACTCAGACCCTGGCTGGTGTGGCTCAGTTGGCTGGACATTGTCCCATGCACCAAAAGGTTGCTAGTTCAATTCCCGGACAGAGCGCATGCCCGGGTTGTGGACTCCATCTCTTGTTGGGGGTGTGCAGGAGGCAGCCCAGCCAATCAGTGTTACTCTCTCACATTGATGTTTCTCTCTCCCTCTCCCTTCCCCTCTCTCTAAAAATTAATAAAAATAATTTTTTAGAAAACAGTGAGGCAGGTACAATTGCTATCATCCCCCCTTCACAATGGGGAGAATGAGGCCCAGAGCAGCAGACTAGGACCTAATCATTTGGGAGTCAGGCTTTGACCTGGGCCATCCAGCCTGTCGATGCTGAACTGTCCCCTACACAGCTGCTCCACAGCCCTGTCCCTGTCAAGTACCAGAGCCCCCCTGGTCTTTTCTCCTCCTGGCCAGCCCCCCGGGCACTGGGGCCCATGGGAACTAGGACTCCAGAGCACTGGGTAGGCAGGAGCTGCTGGCTTGGCGACTGCCCTGGAGGCCAGCAGGTGCCCAGGCAGGCAATCAGGGCCTCTCTGTGCCCACATTGCAGGAGGGGCCGACAAACAGCAGATGGACGCCGAGCTCCGGAAAGAGATGATGGCCATCTGGCCCAACCTGTCCCAGAAAACACTGGACCTGCTGGTTACCCCTCATAAGTGTAAGAGCCCAGACTGTCCTGGCCCCAGGCCCAACCCACCAGGACAGAGGGGGAAGGGAGGAGGAGGCACAGGGGGACTGGTACATAGAGGGGCCCCGCCCACAGTGAGCTTGCTCTGTGCCCCCAGCCACCGACCTCACAGTGGGGAAGATCTACGCAGCCATGATGATCATGGAGTACTACCGGCAGAGCAAAGCCAAGAAGCTGCAGGCCATGCGTGAGGAGCAGGTACAGCCCATGCCCTGACAGCCCTCCCCTCTAATGGTCTTCCTTCTGGGATCACCCAGGCTGGGAGACTGTAGCTTCCTTGTCACCATGAGGACCATCTAGAACAGTGGCATATAGCCAAGCCCCAGGGCAGATCACTGAAAAGTAAGGCTGTGCCAAGGAGACATAACCTGGACTAATTCATCTCCACCAACACTTATTGGGCACATACTGTATGTCAGGTGCTGTTCTCAGCCCTAGGGGTACAACTGTGAGCAAAAAGAGACCAGAAGCCCAGTTGGGGAAATGCCAAAATGGCAAATAACTAAATTATATAGCATGGCAGAACATAATAGGCACCATGGGAAAGAGTGCCTGGGGGAGAGGAGTGCAACTTTAAATGGGTGGTCAGGGGAGGCTCCCTGAGGAGATGACTTCTGAGCAAAGACTTGAAAAGAGAGTGAGCCAAGCAGACACCTGGGGAAAGAATATTCTGGGCAGAGGGAACAGCTGGTTTAAAGGCCCTGAGGCAGGATTGTGAGTTTGAGTTTGGGGAACAGCAAGGTCTTACAGCAGAATGGAGCAAGCAAGAGGGGCAGTGGGAGTGGACAAGGTGATAATTATGCAGGCTTTTGGGGGCCATGAGGAGAACTTTTGAGTTTTGCTTTGAGTAAGAGGGCTCCTAGAGAGAAGTGACCTCTCACGAGTGTTGCTGTGCACCCTCTGGTGGCCGTGGGGAGTAAGTGCGGGAGAGGGGAGACCTGAGGAGGATACTGCACCGGTGAAGGTGATAGATGATGGGGCTGGACCTGCGTGGAGGCCATGGAGGTGTGAGAAGTGATCCAGTTCTGGATGGATTTAGAAGAAAGAGGCTAGTGGGCTGACTGATGGATCAGACCTGAGTATGTGTCCCCTCCACAGCTTCCCCCACCCCACCTATCCCTACCCCACACACACGCATGCACTCCATGCACACACACCACTCTCTGCCTCCCCAGAACCGGACACCTCTCATGTTCCAGCGCATGGAGCCCCCGTCACCAACACAGGAGGGGGGGCCCGGCCAGAATGCCCTCCCCTCCACCCAGCTGGACCCAGGAGGAAGCCTGTGAGTGTCACTCTAGCTAAGAGGAGGGGGTGGATGGGCAGGGAGTGCCCAGTCCCAGATACAGAAGCCCCTGGACTGCCCACTGCCACCTGGCCTGTGTCTCACATGCAGGATGGCTCACGAAAGTGGCATCAAGGAGAGTCCTTCCTGGGTGACCCAGCGAGCCCAGGAGATGTTCCAGAAGACGGGCACATGGAGCCCGGAGCGGGGACCCCCTACCGACATGCCCAACAGCCAGCCCAACTCTCAGGTGCCTCTGTCCACCCACTGCCCATATGGCTTAGACTGGGCAGTACAGGAGGGCAGGGTCTGGGCCCCCCTTGCCTGCAGCTCCATGCAAACCAGGATGCCCCTGGGGTACATGTGTCCAGCCCCAGGGCTCACCCAGCCTTGCCATCTGCCCTGCAGTCTGTGGAAATGCGAGAGATGGGCCGAGATGGCTACTCAGACAGTGAGCGCTACCTCCCCACGGAAGGCCAGGCTCGGGCTGCCTCCATGCCCCGCCTCCCTGCAGAAAACCAGGTGAGCGCTTTCACCCACCCCCCCTGAGGTGGACCTGGGCCCCACAGGCCCTGTCTCCCAAAGCCCAGGGCATCTCCTTCCTCCTCCGAGGCCCAGGTCTGAATGGAGTCTCCTGCACCCTCAGCAGCAGCAAGCAGGCTCTGTCTGGCTACGTCTAGGGCATCTAGAGGCCCTGGTCCTCTAAGCTCCTCCCAATGGAGGGTAGAGAGAAAGGGGCTCCCCTGGGCAGGGTGCAGTAGCCACTGCCAAGTGGTTTATCTCTGCCCTTTTTGGGGGTCCTGAGTCGGGAGGATGTGGAGGACACATGGGGATATGGGACGTGATTTATGAGACTGCAATCAAGAATACACACGCGCACGTAGGCTGCACACATATGCACACATACATAAATGTGTGTTCTCATACACATGCACACACACATACAAGTGGGTCTGCTCTCAGAAACCTGGCAGGTCCTAGGACCTGGTAGCAGCGTCTGGGGAGGGCCTGGGACAGCTGGGGTTCATCTTGTCTGGTCTCTGTGGGGCTGCTGGGGAGGGGAAGGGGCGTGTGCCTGGTGTGTGTCTGTGTGTGGCTGCTTTACCCAGCTGCAGGGCCCTGGGAAGGGGTGAGGGTATGCAGATTCCACTGCCCCAGGCCTATGGGGACTGAAGCCAGAAGCATGGCTGGCTGGCTGCCTGGCCCAGAGGTGGGGCAGCATGTCTGACTGGAGGCTGCCCTTGTGCTGTGCTGGGTCATCTGCACGGGGTGGAAGGCTGCGCTGTGCCTGGCTGGGCCAGGGTCGCCCGGGGCCTGGCCTCTGGCTGCTGGGAACTTGGGTGGGAAGCACCCAGCCTGCATGTGGCTTCCCAGCCTCATCCTGCCAGCCTCCGCCCCCCAGGACTTAGCTGCAGCTGCTGGGCCCCAGGAGAGGGTTGGGACAAACCCACCTGATGGCCACCCCCCCCCCAAGCCATCCCCCCTGCCAAGCTTTGAGTGTCAGCCAGAGCCAGGGCTGGAGGCATTGCATGAGGCAGAGCCGGGGGGCCAGGGCCTGTGGCCACACCATCCCATCTGTCCATCTCTTGCCTCTGCCATCTGTCTGTGGTGTCTCCTGTCTGTCTCCTCTGTGCCCCTGGGAGGACTACTGGCTGGGCCAGGGGTCACTCACTTACCAAGGACTTTAACCCCTTTCCTCCCTCCATTCTCCCCCTCACTCCTCAGATCTTACGTACCACCTCTCACTCCCCACCTTGGCTTTTATATTTATTTTCTTCTTTCTGTTTTTTCTGTGTGCACCATCCCGTGGGGCTGTGACAGAGGAGAAGGGGCCGGCCACGTGGGAATAACCTCAGTGTATGTACCGCCCGCCTGCCACCCAGCTGGGCTCTGGCCCCCTCTTCCC